CAAAGCTCGATTTTTTTCTAAAGTATTTAATCTTCTTTGCCATCCTATTACAAGCAAATGGGTAATTTTTTTTCTAATTATACTATGCAATAGCTAATTTACCCAGAGCACTGCGATATGGAAATTTATGCCTAATCAAATGTGTCTATGATATGTGTTTGTCCAAGTTGGAGTAAAAAGTCTAATCTCAGAAAATTTTAGGGGCTGGATCAGCACACCCAGAATCGTATTCTCTGGAAGCTGTCTATCTAAGCAGCAGTGGCTGATCTAAGATCCAGAGCAAATGGGTCAAATTTCTTTCTTTCTTCCAAGCTTAAAGGTAATAGAGAAGTCAAACAGTCTGAAAACAATGACATGAAAAACTGCCCTTGGTGATAGCAGTGTCTTTGGGTGATGGCCATCGATTCTGGCTTCCCTACATGATCTTTCTCCATCTTGTCTGTTGCCTCCCCTTGTCCTCAGTCAGCAAGAGGTGGCAAAATCCAGAGCAGCTGTTGTCTAAGGCCACCTGGACTTTATACACTGCTCACTATTCCCTCTCTGTTGGGAAGGGGGCACATGGAGGAAGAACTCTTAGGGATTTCTTGTAGCAAATCTTCCTTGCAGAAATTATTGTTTAGCTTTTCAGTATGATTTTATGTAAATCTAAGAAATTTACATATGACAAGCAGAAGTATGTAAAACGCAACTCTGTGATTTCTAGAATAATCTTCATACTATAGAAAGATCAAAACATAAAGGGGTTGGTGATCAAATTTTAATGCTAATAAAAATAATAAAGTTATAGACAGTACTCACTTATGTTGTGATTACTATATGCCAGATATCGTCTTAAGCATCTTAAATGTAATCTGAATTAATCCTTATAATATGTCTGTGAGGTAGATGGTAATACCATCATTGCTTTCAAATGAAGGAAAACAGACTAAGAAGGTAAAGAAACTTGCCTAAGGTCACGTAGTTAGTAAATATATGAATGGTGCTTAAAATTCAGAGCTACTGTTCCTGAAGTCTTCATTATGTGACAAAAGACTTTCATATTAGTCTTTGTACCACAGTCACATTCATAATTAATAACCTGGGAGTTCTGCACCTTGAGTTAAAATGGGTTCATTAAATGCATATAAACTAGTGGAATAGGTTACGGAATGGAGAACCACAGTAGAGTAAAAGATGGCATAGATAATTCAATGTCTACATCCAAAAATAAAAAACCGACTTCAACTATTATGGAAGGTGTACAACATAATATTGAATCAATGGTTGACGTCAAGTAAATGAACATGCCTATATAGTTGACTTGGTTATTGAACACTGTATGCATGCTTTGAAAAATGATACTGTATCCCACAGAGATTACAACAATTATATAATAAATAATATTTAAAAATGAAAGAAATGGACACATACACACACAAAATAAACTGCCCTATTTCATGGGATGCTGTATTAGAGATAAGAACTTTGAAAATAAGATCATGCATATGCATTTGTAATAATATATATTTTTATTTATTTATAGCAGAGATATAAATAAATAATATGCATACACACCCCACATACTCATTATATAGCGGTATAATGGGATGTGGAGAAAGTACAGAACTTGGAATCTGAAGATTTGGATTTTTTAAAAATTTTAATTAATTAATTTATTTATTTGGAGAGGGTTTTTTTTTTTTTTTTTGCTATAGGGCATGTGTACTCACCAGACAGACAGATAGAGAGACAGAGAGACAGAAAACAAGAAATCACCCCCCAGGAGGGATGGCCACGCTGCAATCCCTTCTCCTCCATTCTCCTCTCGGGATTTTGGGCGCACACGTGCCTGGCGTGAGTTTAAGCCACCGGGTCCGGGACTCAAACTTCAGTCGGCTACATGGGAGTCCAGCGACGTAGG